AAATAAATTGGGGTGTGCCCCCTAAAACGCTGTTTTCCACGATTGCATAGCCACATTTAGTGAAAATATGATTGCCACAATTCAAAGAACCTTTGGGGAAAATATATATCTATTTGCGGATTTATGGCATTTTTCCACACAATTTTACGTTCGTTCAAGGACCTGTATAATGTCCTTGTTCGATAACCCGGAAGTGTAATCCACGTAACCTTCGGCGTGACGGCCCGGTGCTCTCTATACATGTTTCCGAGCAGAACGAGGTCCGTCCCGGCAAGAAGCTTTCATCACACGGTGATAGAATGTCCTTGGTCCTGGTGATGTCCCGTACTTTAGCATACACCACTTTACTACTCGCAAAACTTGCGTTCGATTGTATCTAATTTAAAACGTCAGGAACAACTAATATCTCACCACGTCCGCCCGCCAATGATACCAGTGCCTTGTTGAAAACAAATCTTTCATCGACACCGAACACCCCCTCTGTGGAACACCCCTCTGTGACAAAAAAGTGGACCAATCTCATAATACCACAAACACACCAAAGGTCAACCCGGGCGACCATTTTCAGACTCAAACTGAGTCAAAGGGGTGTCCGGGGGCCGCCAATAAAATTCATTTTCACGCCCGAAAAAACATATACAATAAGAACAAAAGAACGTGCACCATCTACAGCCCAATAGCAGAACTTATACCGAGTCCCAATTACAGTACATCCGTCCACCCCAACGCGATATACAACTGCGATCATTTTTCTTTGGTCCTGACGAAAACTACGATAATCATCTTCAAAAAGCCTACACTATACATACACACAACACCCACGAAAGCAATATCACACTGTCGAAGGCATGAGCCCTCCGAACTCTAGTTTCATCATAAATTATTTTCATCAGAATACATTTACATGTCAAGCCCATATTTCATGGAGGTATGAGATCTCGGAACTCTTGTTCAAAAAAGGTTTTAATTTCTGCACCATTTTCAGTTAATTTGACCATTTCACAGAGAACGTAGTGCATGTGTACACATCATGACTTTTAACCATTGAAAAAATAATTTCACCCATCAACTTCGTTTAAAGTTTCTCAATATACTGTAAAATTACTTTGAAGAAGATTCAAAATATATATTGAACAACATAAAGAAAAGCTCTGTCAATGTCAGAGGAGTAGTAGTATATTGTAAAACGAATATCAAACGACAACAAAGTTACTATAATGAATTTCATGCCTTCACTATGTCATTAATACAACACCAATATGTACTTTATAGGCTGAAACTATTCAAATTTTTGTACATTTGAAATTTATAGACATGCCACGGAACTTGTAAACAAAAAGACAAATCGAGTGAATGATAACATGTTCTATGACTTTAGTTGTGAACAGGCATTATAAATGGATTCGATTAAACGATTGCAATTGCCAATAAGCTACAATATGTTTTTCGCTGTAAATTAAAACAAAAAGTGTATTTTTTTAAGAAGTAACAATGATTTTTAACATAAATCTACAGGGTCAATAACCTGGTTACTGAGGTTAAAGATATTGACAGTCATATTCAACTGTGACCATTGATGTCATAAAAATAGCATACGATAGAAATATTTGTCATTAAAATACAACAAACGTACAGAGAATACTACCATAATTTGACACTAAAAAGGTAACATTTGAAAAGCAAATGCAAAATGTTTACCTTCGCATATGGTTTGCTTTTCTTACTCAAATACATGTACATTCATATATATGGTCAGACAGGAGTCTACATCCCTCCAATAAAATTGCAACATGAAGTAACCCAACACCAGTTACCATGGTGACAGACATCAACAAATTATGTCATTGGCCAGGTCAGAGGTTAGTGTTTGGAACAGAAGAAGAAACGTAGTAAAAACAATATGTTTTCATTCGGTAAACATAATTATATAACATGCAGTTTGGTAATGACATTACCACTTCAGCCGTTTTGAAAGGGTTGATTGCTTGGACACTATTAGGCAAAACCCATGTAGAAGTTCAACTCGTACAACTACAAGGTTGCAAAAATGTTTCATTGCATTATGGTCTTTTTTTCAATTTATTTTTTTTCTTTTAGACTCTTAAATAAATAAAAAATATTTTGACCATGTTAAAGACATCGTTTAAATTTTGCATCGTGTAATCAACTAAATCAAACCAGTAGTCATAGTAACAATTATGTACTAGATGTATCTTGCACCAAAGATAACGCTCAATTTTCAGCCAATTGAGATCTTCCTACAAGTAGCTGAAGATTTACCAAATGAAAAGTTCAGCCTGTTATGGCTTCTAGAGCTAGTTTTCAAAATTCAATCTTCCAGCTTTGATTCACTACCTTCTAATGTTTAATCTTTGTCAAGGTAAAACACAACTGCTGTTCCATGGTGGTGAGAGTTTGGCCTGCCACCTAGGTTTTCTCTGCAGAAAGAAAACATAACAGTGGTCATTGCAAGGGAATAAATTGATAAATAATGTTTTACTTAAATAGTTTTAAATAAATAGGCTTTGTTAAAAGCAAATTTTGTTTGCCTCTAATAATGTTTTTTTTTCCTCATAACACACTTATACAGCTGGTATATTTTACAAATTAAGTTGTCAAAGTCAAGCATTACACATTTAAATTGCAAGTTTAACTTTAAGTGTTAGGTCACAACAAAGTAAAATATTTAATAGTCGCAGGGGAAACGGAAGTATTGAAGTTCTATTGTCGCCACATGTAGCTTTCACAAAAATGTGTAAATTTAAAACAATAGATATCTATTAATCTATGTATGCATGTCCTTGTTGTTAAAACTGACAATTGTGAATGTACTTGTTATTGATAAGTTGAAGTAAAAATATTTCATAAAAGAAACCCAAAAAAATTCTTAATACCCTTAGTGTGATCATTCTAAATAAAGCATACGTGTAAAGGACATACTTGGGACAATTTGACAGATGAACCCTCGGGCTTCATTGCACTTCCTGTCGTACCATTTGCCCTTTGACCAACGGACGCAATCCTGATTGCCTCTGCTATCTGGCTCATTGCTATCTCGATCCCACGAGTTGAACATGTTCAGGACATAGCCACCCAACCACTCAAAGTGTCCTTCCTTACGTATGTCATGTAGGCCGATCCAGTAGCCCCGACTACCCGCCATACGAATCAAAATGGCGTTGGTCTCAGCATCCTTGGGCATGAAGAGGGTACCGCCATCTTTACGACAGGTCGCGTCCGCGTTGTAGAATGACTTTTTGCCTTTGACGACTCAAGTTGTAGCAAGCCCCACGCCATTTCCCATACTCAACAGGACAGATGACTAAACACACACAAAAACGAGTTATTCATATTTAGTAGCAGACTTGGAACAACATATAGACATTGTTGAATTTGACCTGCTTGCAGCTCAAAACCGATAAAAGAAAACATTTCTCAAATTATTTTAGAGATATTCGTCCCAGCTGTTTAAAAAGAAGGAGCATCACATAAAGAAATGTCATTTACCTATTTGTCCATTTGCCGAATGTGGTAAAAACACGTGTACGTGCTAAGCATGTGAATGTTCAAGCAATGTTACTTAAACAATGTATCTATGACTTGTGCTATTCGGTCACCTCACCTGAATGCCAACATGGGGGTCATTATGCACAAAAATATAGAAGTTCAATCCATTTGTAAAAATAGCAGAAGGTGAAAAATAAAAATAAAAAAAACATTGCAAAAAAAGATAATATACTTTATTCAAACCTCTTGTATGGCTTGAAATATATATTATCATATAGCCAGGTGACGTTGACCAATCAGAAGGCTCTGTGGCTGTGTCCTTCAACAAAGATAGCGTAACCCTTTTTGGGGGCTGATCAGATAGTTTTTTGCTGCCAAAACTCGACCCTAAAGTTGGACTGCAAAACCGACATTCTGGTGGCGGCCGGCGCGGCCCTTCCCGCACGAATTTTGCCCGAGGTGTTCGAGTTGCTAGGGCATTGCTAAGGGGGGCGTGGCTTCGGGATTGGTCTAATAGACCGAGGCAGGCAACAGCCTAGATAAAAACTAGTTCACGAAGGGACGAACTTACAAAAGATGGCCCTTGTTTTGGCTTTGGGAGCAGCGCGTTCACGGTTGCTCGCGTCGTGGCGAGCCAGCAAACTCCTGGGCAGCGTTCTCCGACTGACGGATGCAAACACAGAAAGGTGTGTGGCAGCTGCAGCCTCGTCGCTGAGACCGAGCTTGGGCTACCAAAGTCGGTCCCTGGTTGTCGGCATGTCGCGTGTCCTACAAATCGCGCCTAAAGGAGCGCGTAGCATGTCCCAGGATCAGCATCAGGCTTCGCCAGGCAAGGGTATGGAAAGGGCGACGTTAGTGGGCAGTGAAGAGGTAGTGGAAGTGGAATGGTCAGTGGGAGGGGTGAGCAAGTATCCATATGTCTGGCTGAGGGACAACTGTCAGGTGAGTCAATGGATTCAGCCAAGCACATATTAATGACCTGGTTCAGCCATGTTGGAATTTTCCACTATTCATGTAGAGAACAACCACATAGTTAGTAATGTTTTTCGCCCTAGAAATTTATCTGTCTGTATTATTCAAGCTATATAATCGTCCGTGGGCATAACTTCATTTTCTCCCTTTATTTTCTTACTCCTTCTAGTGCTCCAAGTGTTTCGCGAAGGAACACAACAATCGTCTGATTATGACGTCAGACATAGAGTTGGACGCCGCTCCCGTCACGGCGGAGATGTCAGGTGAGTGCATTGACCCACAGAGCGACTGCTTCTTGTCTTAAATTGTTTTGAATGTAAACCCACGTGTGTCTGGGGGTCAAAGAGTTGTCTTTTTCGTTTGGTTTATCTTCTTTTTCTTCTGTTCATGACAGGGTGGTCGAGTTGTCTTTAAATAGGCGTTTCTATAACCCCGCAGCTACCTCCCTAATGCTTCGGTCCCAATTGAAAAAAGAGGCCCTGCCGGGTAGTCCCCGGGCTGTTTTTGGCACTTTCGGGCGTGACCCGTCCGGGATACCCTGCGGCTACCGGGCTATTTTTGGGCCCGGCGGGGACCCGAGAAGAATTTAATTCTGACTTAAATTCTACCCGGGCCCCGCTGACAAAACGACGCCGTGACCTCATCGTGAGAACACCGACAGGTACCCCTCCGGTTGCCGGCAGTCCACTGGGACACATTTGTTCCGTCACAGACCAGATAAACAGAAAAAATGTGTGTACTTCGTAAACCCGGGTAAAATGTGTGACGTCACAGATCAAATGATCACAACAAAAGCGTGAATTCTGCATTACGTATGTGTCAGTACAAGACATCGTCAGAGAATCTGCCGGGTGCCTGCCGGAGACCGACCAAAGAGGGTGACAAAATTTCTAACAAAATGCTACTGAAAGAAAATTTTCAATTGTGACAACGACAGTCGATGCCCACCCGACTCTTGAGCCCGACCGGGGCTATATCCCCGACGGGCACCGGCGCAATTGGGACCGAAGCTTAACCGAGCCTAGTCTACACAATTTTTTCCGCATCAGTACGCCCTAATTGTCTTCGTCGAGAAGACTATAAGATCTTGATTTTTGGACCTGACGTGGGTCGACGTTATAACTCAATCATTTTTCATAGTATATAGAGGCAATATATTTTAACATGTCTCAAGTGGGACGTATTTTCAGCACCTACAAACAGGCCCCGGCCGTATGATCCATATTCGCGCTTCGGGGCTTTGTTGTGGATGTTAAATTATATGGAAAACTGCGGCTACTGAATTCGAACCGACATTGTGGCGGGATTGTGCGGCAAGTAGAAAATTACACTGGCTCCACTGGTACAAACAAACAATCCAGGTCAGGGCTCGAAAGACAACCTGCATGTGCAGGTTAATACGGGTAAAATTGGATCTTGCAGGTATTTCTGTTGTCTACCTGCACCTAACCTGCACTGGTCCATGTACTGGGTATATGCAGGTTAGTGCAGGTAAAATTGGAGCTGTGCGGGTATTTCTGATGTCTGCCTGCACCTAACCTGCACTGGTCCATGTACTGGGTATATGCAGGTTAGTGCAGGTAAAATTGGAGCTGTGCAGGTATTTCTGATGTCTACCTGCACCTAACCTGCACCTGCACTGGTCTACGTACTGGGTATATGCAGGTTAGTGCAGGTAAAATTGGAGCTGTGCAGGTATTTCTGATGTCTACCTGCACCTAACCTGCACCTGCACTGGTCTACGTACTGGGTATATGCAGGCTAGTGCAGGTAAAATTGGAACTGTGCAGGTATTTCTGATGTCTTCCTGCATGTAACCTGCACTGGTCTATGTACTGGGTATATGCAGGTTAATACAGGTAAAATTGGAGCTTTGCACCTAATGTCCACTGGGCCATGAAAATTTATAGACATGTACAGGTGTATTTGGAGTTGTATTTGCTGCATTGACTGTTACAACCTATGATGTATACAAAAGAAAAAAAAGGTTTCTGATGATATTTTAGTATTATTCATACTTTCTAAATTCTGAGTAGCGCAGGTAAAATTTGTCTGTTGCAGGTATACCGGTAATTCTAAATGTGCAGAAGACAGTATTTCTAGTCCTGAAACATGGATCATGTAATGGAGAGGACTAGCTTTTAGTGCCTGCAAGAATATTCTGCCATATAGACTAATATTCTTCCTGCTTTTTTTCTTGTAAATGGAAGAATAGCTATAGTATCACGGTTGGAATAAGAGGTGCATTCGTTACTGGGCTAAGATTGGTCCTCATTCATATTTATCTAATTTTCGTCATGGAATCGTCTTATCGTCGTTCAAAAATGTAGCACTTCCGCGCATTTCAGATAGGGGAAGCACGTTGCTGGTGACGTGGCCGGACGGACACCAGAGCCAGTACGACTGGCAGTGGCTGCGGGACCGCTGCTTCAGTCCCCAGGCCAGGGCGGACAGGGAAACACGCGGGAGGAATAAGGTAAAGCATGCCCGTTGCCAGGGAGGGTTCGTGGGGTTCGGAAGAACCCCCCACAAGGCTCAAAGGTCCACTTTTTGGTCCACTTTTCATGTAAAGATCCAAGATTTTTCTTGAAAAGATGGACTGGAGTCGTAGAAAAACTGCTCCCTTTGTCATTGAATAAAAATTTATCTCTGATGTTTTCATGGAAATCCTCTCAAAAATGCACGACATGCCATTTTAGAAGGTTCATTTTTCAAAATTTTATAAACAGCCCTATCTCATCTTGGGCGTAGCCTACGGTCAGCCCATCGAGCTAGGCGGCGTAGGCTGGCACACTCTTTTGTGAAAACGACATAATCCATCTGCTGTGCCACCCCGAGGTTTTCTCTTTACGCCAACACTGGTCCTACTACTGTCTGCTAGTAACTGTTCTTCAACCAGCACGCTTTTATGCTACATAATGTAAAGTTATCGTTGTATGCAAGAAATGTCTGCATATTGTCCGACAGTGTTGTTTTTAATATGGGCCCTGGACCTGATTGAATGAATGAATGAATGAATGAATGAATGAATGAATGAATGAATGAATGAATGAATGAATGAATGAATGAATGAATGAATGAATGAATGAATGAATGAATGAATGAATGAATGAATTAACGAACCAATGAACCAACGAACAAATTATTTATTTCCAGAAACAGCTATGGGGCGCTGACATCTCAGCTGACCTGACCGTCCATGATTTTCCCGCCCTTTTGTCAGACGACCGCGCCTTGTACAACTTCCTGTACGGCCTGGACAAGGTCGGCCTTGTCCTGGTGCAGAACGTGCCACGTCAGGTCGGGCAGGTGGAGAAACTGGCCAATCGCGTGTCGTTTCTCAAACAGAATGTTTATGGGCAAGTGGCGTGTATTCATGACATTTTACTTCTTACGCTTCGTTTGCTATCTGCACAACCCCTTGATTGAAGCTAAGCTTTTAGCCCTAATCCATCCATCCATCCATCCATCCGTCCGTCCGTCCGTCCGTCCGTCCGTCCGTCCGTCCGTCCACATCCATTAATCTATCAATTGGTTGATGAATTATGAATAATGAATTAGCATAATGAATTATCACCTTCGTCAAGAAGGGTATGTTTTCATAAGCGTTTGTCTGTTTGTTTGTTTGTTTGTTTGTGAATAGTATAACTGAAGAAGTTTGTTTGTTTGTAAATAGTATAACTGAAGAAGTTTGTTTGTTTGTGAATAGTATAACTGAAGAAGTTTTACATGCATTGTCATGAAACTTGGTAGGTGGGTAGGTCTTGATGAGACCTGGAAATGATTAGATTTTGGACCCCCTAACGTCTTTCGATGATACTGCAGTAGAACGTCCGGTTTTTATATCTCATTGACTGGACATGCTAGGTTCATGAATTTTGGATGGTAGATAGCTCTTCATCAGGCTTGTTCGGCTTGTTCTGGAACTGCAGGAGCGTTTGTTGAAAAACCTTCGAAGGAGGATAACTCAAGGACCCATTGACGGATTGTGATTTTTCGTATGTAGGCAGCTGAAGTAATGCTTGACATGATTAGATGACAATTATGCAAATCAGGAGCTGATTTGCATAATTAATGAGGAAATTCTATAAATCTGCTTTGCTCGATAATAGGACTATGAAACACATGTGACACATGTAATTGAGAACGAAAGGAACATCTGAAGATATAGATTATGTAAATGAAGACTTTTATGCAAATTAAAATTTAATTTGCATAATTAATGGAAAATTGCTATAATCTCATAGTAGTAACTGCTGGGAATTTCATATTTTCCGCATTTGGAAGTTAAGTGAAGTTCAACAGCAATGAATATAATTTGCATTTGCTTAATCTATGAGGAAGTGCTAGAATAACCTTTTTTTGCTAGGATAAAGCCGTCATTGGTTTGAAAATATAATCAACTGATAAACTCCATGCAAATGAGGCTCTTATTTGGGAAATCAATGAGTAAAAATGAACAGTTTGTCCACCGGAAGGGTTAACATCATTTGGCGAAGGTATATAATCGTGGAACTCTTGTTCATTCATTCATTCATTGCATTCCCTTCCTTACCATCTTTATTCCTCCATTAGAAGGAAGAAATTAATCTTCACTGTTTGTACATATACGTATATATAATATGAGTTATACGTTCACATATACTGATAGAAATATATGCTACAAAGTATTCACCTTTGTCAGGATAATCAAACATTCATAACGACAAGAAATGAAATATGTACTCATATACGGGATAAAATGTACACTGTAGAGTATTCAGTGCATTTGCTATCTATCTATTTATTTATTCCCGTCTTCAGAACTGAGATCATTGTGAAGAGCAAACCTGACGACGTCCGTACGAGCGAGGCCGACTCCACTCGCCACCTGGAAATTCACAATGACGAGCCCTACTACAGCTATGCACCTGGCGTATGTCACAGTTTCCGTTTTCAATTGGGTTCGACTGTGAGTTACCTAGAACGGGTAAAGGTCTTCCTAGCTAAGCGATGGTGAACATGACAAGAAAAACAACGAAAATGAGAAAATAAAATGCCTTGAGGCTGGCTGCAGAAATGGCTGGTCTGGTAGTGTAAGAGTAGAGTATGTTATTGCTACTACTAAAAAATATTCTGGATGAGGAAATCTGTCTGATATTGACATTTACTAAGTCCTTGAAGCGTTTCAAATATCCCCAAAACAAGCCACATGAGGCCTACGATACAACCGTTTTCTGTCAGTGACATCGCATTTATGCCTCACGGATATCAATATGCTATGGGATAGGATTGATTCAACTTCATTAAAAGAATGACCAGAAATTGAAATCCAGTTTTACCGCCCTGAAATTGCATTGGGTGGGGGAAAAGTAGGCACGATGTCCTTTTGTTGTCCGTTTGAGTCTGAAGAAGGTCTTCAATTTACGTGCTGTTGCCTAACGCATCATCCTACAGGTGCAGATTCTACATTACATCGAACAGACCGAGGGGGAGGGGGGCACAAGTCTACTTGTGGACAGTTTCAACGCCGCCTACCAACTGAAGGAAGAGGACCCAGAGGCATTTTGGCTTCTCACCACCTTCAAGGTCCACTTTATCCAAAAGAAGGCCAAACACAAGTCCCATATAAGGAATGTCTGCCACGTCATCAGGTAAGGCCACATCATGTAAATTTTATGGATGACGTCCTTTGGAGACCCTAAATCTAATGCGAGAGGGCGAAACAAAATATAAGAAGGGCCCTAAAAAACAAGATGCCTAGATAAGAAATATACTAAGAGACGACATATGTTAGGACACAAATTGAATGAGGTGACACAGTGTAACAAGCAAGAAGTCTTTTATTCATCATCAAAACAGCAATAAATCAGGTGTAACAGCAGTTGTCGTCCTGTCCTGTTTCTTTCATCAAATTTTTGCAGGCCTGCAGAAACAAAGCATGTGCTCTTTACCCATTTCGCGTTACGGGTTTCACGTCAATCTAACGATTTGCGGCACTGTCGTGACTCATTGGCCATATATATATATATATATATAGTTACAGCATGGAGGTACAAAAAAAGATCCATGGTTACAGGAAGCGGAATTTCTTGGGTTTTTTTTCTAGGAACAGGCCAAAATCAATGCGCGCGCGGACGTCACCCGTACAATTTACATGGTGTGGCCTAAGAGTCTTTACTCGGATGGAGGCCTTTCATGGCAGCCATGTACATCGAGAAAAGGGGTTCGTCTGAAATATCTTACATGGCCATTTTTTTTGGTAAAAATTGCGTTGTTTTTCTTAAATTGAGTCCCTTCTAAAGCATGTTTGTTGGGGGCTACAAATCCCCCGACTAAGTGCTGAGAATTGGTTGGTTGGATGTTGGAGGATGAATGGAAACCAAGTAGAAGTCAGGAGCGACTTGAAGACTTGCCGAATAGAACTGAAACAAGTGACGCAATTATTTACCGCACGTAACCGCTTATAAACTATTACAAAACTAGAAAGGCCAATATTTGCTTTGGAGCAAATACAGCGATGGGTTCACCACATTTTACGACATGGCAGGGAAAGAATGGGAAACACAAGGGAAAACAATGATTTACATTGATATAACTATAATATGAAGTAAAATACAACTAAAACAACAGTTGGATAGCTATTCCCTACTTTATTGGTTAGGATTTTTAATTGCATAATGCAAACTGTTGATTTTCAAAATAAAAAAAAACGTCCATGCCCGGCATTCCACTGCTGGAGCAGGAAAGCTTGAAATACCTACCAAAACACTTGAATACAGACATACTGTCAGTATGGAAATGCTTCTGTGCAGGTGTTAATCAAGTTAAATCCCAACAGCCAATCAGCAAGAAGTATAGAGGAAAGCTGCATGCCTATTGGTTGATGCCCTGCATTCCATTGTGATGACTCATGTCCAAACGTGGTAAACAAGGCACCCTAACACAGTAATACATTTGCTATAACACAGCCAAAAAACTCAAATAAAACCATTCTAAAAGCCTGTATCACAATAATTTAAAAAACGCCTAGGGGTATTTGCCCACTGTACCTCCATACCAAATTTCAGGACCTTGGGCCCTAAAATGAAGAAGCTGAATCCATTTAAAAAATGGCAGGAGGAGAAGGAGGAGGAGGAGAAGAAGAAGAAGAAACATCAGAAAAAGCAATATGGTTTCACCACACCACTTCGTGGTGTGGTGAACCCATAATAACTCTTCTCCAGGAAAAAAGAGCTCATGATACATTGAGACAATTTTAAGCAGAGTGTATCTAAGTCCAGCCTTATTAGCATGAGTACTAGTCACTACCTTCTCTCTCTATTGTACTCCAACACATCCTTCTGCGTCAGCAGAGTAAACTGGCTGCTGTCTGACAGCTTCAACATTCATTTCTTTTTATGGGTTCACCACACCACGAAGTGGTGTGGTGAAACCATATTGCTTTTTCTGATGTTTCTTCTCCTTCTTCTCCTCCTTCTCCTGCCATTTTTAAATGGATTCAGCTTCTTCATTTTGGGGCCTAAGGACCTGAAATTTGGTATGGAGGTACAGTAGGCAAATACCCCTAGGCGTTTTTTTAATTGTTGTGATACAGGCTTTTAGAATGGTTTTATTGTAGTTTTTGGCTGTGTTATAGCAAATGTATTACTGAGTTAGTGTGCAGTGTTACCACATTTGGGCATGAGTCATCACAATGGAATGCAGGGCATCAACCAATAGGCATGCAGCTTTCCTCTATTCTCCTTTCTGATTGGCTGTTGGAATTTAACAGGCTTAACTTAATTAATACCTGCACAGAGCCATTCCATACTGACAGTAGGTCTGTATTCAAGTGTTTTGGTAGGTATTTTAAGCTTTCCTGCTCCAGCATTGGAATGCGGGGCATGAACGCTTCTTTTTTCTTGAAAATCAACAGTTTGCATTATGCAATTAAAAATCCTAACCAATAAAGTAGGGAATAGCTATCCAACTGTTGTTTTAGTTGTATGTTACTTCATATTATAGTTATATCAATGTAAATCATTGTTTTCCCTTGTGTTTCTCATTCTTTCCCTGCCATGTGGTAAAATGTGGTGAACCCATCGCTATATTTGCTCCAAAGCAAATATTGGCCTTTCTAGTTATCATTATAGTATCATGTACTATGTCTAAAGGATGCGGGTTCAGTATAAATATCTATGCGTACAGAGAGAGATTCTAAACCTGTGTACTGTGTCATCTGCCTCAGCTTGGATGACCAGGGAGAGGTGCAGCGGGTGAACTACATGATGATCGCGCGGGACTCGGTCATGGACGTGCCGCTGGAGCAGGTCAAGCCGTTCCACCGAGCCCTGAAGGCCTTCAACGCGCTCCTGTACCACCCCAACAACTGTCTTCATCTCAAGATGAAAGCAGGTGAGGTAGAAAGCAGGTGAGATAGACAGCAGGTGAGGTAGATAGCAGGTGAGGTAGAAAGCAGGTGAGATAGACAGCAGGTGAGATAGACAGCAGGTGAGATAGAGAGCAGGTGAGGTAGAAAGCAGGTGAGATAGATAGCAGGTGAGAAAGATAGCAGGTGAGATAGATAGCAGGTGAGATAGATAGCAGGTGAGATAGAATGCAGGTGAGGTAGAAAGCAGGTGAGATAGACAGCAGGTGAGATAAATAGCAGGTGAGATAGAAAGCAGTTGAGGTAGAAAGCAGGTGAGATAGAAAGCAGGTGAGATAGAAAGCAGGTGAGATAGAGAGCAGGTGACATAGAAAGCAGGTGAGATAGAGAGCAGGTGAGATAGAAAGCAGGTGAGATATAAAGCAGGTGAGATAGCAGGTGAGATATAAAGCAGGTGAGATAGAGAGCAGGTGAGATAGAAAGCAGGTGAGATAGAGAGTAGGTGAGATAGAGAGCAGGTGAGATAGAAAGCAGGTGAGATAGAGAGCAGGTGAGATAGAGAGCAGGTGAGATAGAAAGCAGGTGAGATAGAGAGCAGGTGAGATAGAGAGCAGGTGAGATAGAGAGCAGGTGAGATAGAAAGCAGGTGAGATAGAAAGCAGATGAGATAGAGAGAAGGTGAGATAGAAAGCAGGTGAGATATAAAGCAGGTGAGATAGCAGGTGAGATAGAAAGCAGGTGAGGTAGATAGCAGGTGAGATAGACAGCAGGTGAGGTAGATAGCAGGTGAGATAGATAGCAGGTGAGATATAAAGCAGGTGAGATAGAGAGCAGATGAGATAGAAAGCAGGTGAGATATAAAGCAGGTGAGATAGCAGGTGAGATAGAAAGCAGGTGAGATAGAGAGCAGGTGAGATAGAGAGCAGGTGAGATAGAAAGCAGGTGAGATAGAGAGCAGGTGACATAGAAAGCAGGTGAGATAGAGAGCAGGTGAGATAGAAAGCAGGTGAGATATAAAGCAGGTGAGATAGCAGGTGAGATATAAAGCAGGTGAGATAGATAGCAGGTGAGATAGAAAGCAGGTGAGATAGAAAGCAGGTGAGATAGAAAGCAGGTGAGATAGAAAGCAGGTGAGATAGAAAGCAGGTGAGATAGAAAGCAGGTGAGATAGAAAGCAGGTGAGATAGACAGCAGGTGACATAGATAGCAGGTAACCTTACCACAGGAAGCTCCCCGGTATCCCTATGGTGCTGTCAGTAGCTTGGTAACCATTTCACGGCCGGCTTATTACTATAACAAAAAATTGTATAAAAGATATACATTGAACCTTATACTATAAGTTAAAGTCTTGCTAAGCACAGACGTTTTTCAGGATATTCTGGTAGTTATTTTTCCAGTCTGCCTTTCTAATCACTGAAAACCATTACCGGAATATAAATGTTTCCAACTATGATGGCTGATATATATATATATATTATTTCGAAATGTCGCACAGGATGTCGAATCCTTCGGTACTTGTACTACATCAAGTTTATTGTGTCAAATAGGCTGCCATCTTTCAGTCACAAATAGTGCAAATTAAAGCTTGTACAAGGGGTTCGTCGGCTATGATTCAATGCACAGTCATTGGAGAACTAAGCTTGCCAATTGTTACAAGTTACAACATTACATGTAGTTGATTTTTGTCGCACAATTATTACCTAGTCGCGATAACTTCTTGAGACTTCGAACTCGTGAAGAATTCTTACATCTACTCAGGATTTCTAAATTGCGTGTGTGTGTGTGTGCATTGTCTTCTCTCTGTCCTACCAGGGGAAATGTACGCTGTGGACAACGGGCGGACACTACACGGGCGCACGGCCTTCAACGCGGCGGACGGCGTCAGGCACCTGCGCGGCGGCTACCTGGACTGGGACGGGGTCTACTCCCGCATGCGCGTGCTCCGGGAAGACCTGGGCATCATGGAATAGTCAGATCTACGTGTAGTGTTATCTCCGAGCAGATATGCCCAATCGAGGGCTTTGCCCAGTAACGTATATAGATGTAGAAAGAAGGCTCCCGCTTGTTGCAGTGCGTCTTTTGGCTAAAAGATTTATACATCCTAAACGGAGTAGCAAATTCGGAGTGCGGGTGGTATTTTAGAATAGGGGATAGATTTTACACAACTTCATTTCATTTTCATTTCATTTTATTTCTTTATCCAGGGGTAGCATATAGCCAATGGCGGTTTTCAACGCTCCCTGCACAGAACAATACACAAAATAACAGAAAAGGTAAAAGAACTAACTTAGGTACAATCATAATTGGTATCTGGTGATATTCCTCCTGCCATAGATTACATGTATCAAAGTCCCATGATGTAAAACACTGGATTTACAGAATTTCCTTATTAATTATGCAAATGAAGTCATAATTTGCATCCAATAATGTAGATCTCTTTCTAAGCTACCCACACACCAAATACTAGTATCATTAAAATACATTGTTCCTTTGTGAATTTATCTGCTCTGAAAGGTTCCAGAACAGCTCTGCAGTTCCAGAACAAGCTGCTAGGGGGGCCAAACCCACACCACTTATTGCTGGCAGGAAAAGCTATTTACCACTCAAAAATCAAGACCATAGTATGTTCAGGACAAAATATGCAAATACCGGAAGTTCTGCTGCAGTACCAAGGTCAGCCACAAGGAGGCCCAAAATTGACCTTGACCTTTGCCTACTTGACAGAAGTTATGCTGACTAAAAATTTGCGGAAACACACACACACACACACACACACACACAGACAGGCACATACACACACACACACACACACACACACACACACACAGACAGACAGGCCAAAAACAATACCTCCATTTTTCATGGAGGTAACTAACAAGAAAACAAGTTTAGATATATCATCAAACTGTTTGAAAGCGCAATTCAGTAACTTGTAGACATTATACTTGCAGTTCCAAGTGAGTCTGGTACCTGGAGTAGCTGACTACAACCGCTAGGAGCCCTCACTTCCCATACTGTATCTGTTGTTGATGTTCGTGGTTACAATGCCTATAGCGTTAATGCAGGATAAAGATACACCTCGCTTGCTCTTTCACTGCACACGCGCCCCGTTCGCACGTATAACAAATAACATTTTAACAACTAGAGTTCGGCGATCTCATACCTCCATGACAATTGTTTAGTGCTTTCGTAAATCTTATGCATGGTGATGACCACCTGTAAATGGCTTACATTTACAATCCTGTTCATTAGCAAAATTATATACAAATTATTCATAAACCCCCGACCTAGTAACATGCAACACACTGGTGAAATCATTTGACATGGACAAAGTTTGATATTGTTGGTTATATGCAAGCACGGCCTCTGACATACATTTTCCAAATCATCTTAGCCGTCCAAAGTAGTACTGACTTATTATACATTTTTCACTGAGAATATGCAAATTATAAGAGGCCATTTGCATATATCATATCAGTTGATCATATTCTCCACCCAATGACAGGGTTATTTCAAGAAATAAGGCTTTTCTAGTGTTTCCTCATAAATTATGCACATGAGGTCCTGGTTTGAATGAATTATGTTTAGTGATGTTCACCTTCACCGAATCTCCAATTATAGCAAGTACTAAATTCCAAGCAGCTACCACCATAAAATGGTATCAATTTTCCATTAATTATGCAAATAAGGTCTTCATTTACTTGTTCAATATCTGCCAATGTTCCTGTCGTTCTCAATTACGTATGTCACAAGTGTTTCATAGCCCTAATATCGAACACAACAGATCTATTGAATTTCCTCATAAATTATGCAAATTAGATCCTGATTTGCATAATTGTAATTTAGTGATGCATCACTTCACCTACCTACATACCAAAAATCACGACTATCTATCAGCCGGTTTCTTAGTTATCCTCTTTCGAAGGTTTTTAAAGAAACCGTCTTGCAGTTCCAAACTCACGTGACTTCTTCCCGAGCACGAGAGCTACCTCCCATCCAAAATTCACGACCCTAGGATGTCCAGATCGCGAGACATTAAAACCGGAAGTTGCGCTGCAGTACGAAGGGAAGCCACTAGGGGGCCCAAAATCTAATCATTTCCAGTTTTCGCCACACCCTACCAACGCACCAAGTATGAAACCAATCCATCCAGCCGTTCTTGAGTTATCTTGTTGACTAACAGACGGACAGACAGACGGACAGGCTGTCGGACAGACAGACGGACGGACAAACGCAATTGAGAATATATAACCTTCATGACATGTCATGGAGTTAATCAGTCAAATCATTTATTTGTTGTATCCTAATTACGTAAACGCGCGGATTTTTTTTCAGGGAAGAGCTGCATATAGGGAAGAGCTGTATATTGAGGCTGGATACATTTACTAGATACTGTAACCGTGAATGTCCCACGGAGAAAACATCGGATGTATTGTTTAGTGCGATCCGTTACCGGTACACCAGTTTGCTGTTGGACACAATCAATGGAGCTGGCACGACTTTGATGTGGAAGAGACAGGCATAAATCAAGTTTTACCAGTAGTGACGACAAAACCATTCATTTCCCTGGACATTCGTGTCCAATCTGGACGGTTTGGGGCCTCGAGAGGGCACAGGAGTACAGGGTCTGAGCGTTTACGGTTTACAAAGTTTGATCACAAATTGTTCACCCCAGTAATACATGACACGGTAGCTGCGGTGTGCATGTAGTATAATAATGATACAATGGTGGGTTTGGGACCGAGCTTTCAACATGTCCTCCTCCGCGTGTGTGGTGTCTAAAAGAGTCCGGTCTAAAAAAACAAAACAAGGGACTACAAAAGCAATGTCCGAGTTAATCATTATTTCCCTTCCATCAATCCAGTGTTATATAAAAAGATCTAAGATAAAAACTTGCTTATTACTGACAGCAAAAAACGTTTGCGCTTGGCTGATGCATGTAGGCGAGAAGTTTCCGTCGGGCGGATAACCGCCGGGCCATGAGGTCATTTGCGCCCGTAAGGGAACAAAAACCCCAAAAGTGACTCTCTCCATTGGAAATGTATTACGCCAGTCACTTTTGAAATTAAAATCAATATAACGAAAGACAGGAAATAAAGAGTGATAGGCCTATAGGCATAGGACACACCTCTCGCCCAGGTGCGTCGGCCAAGCTCATAAAGTCGGGCCGCCGGCGCCACCTGCAGCCGTGGCAGGCCCGACAAACATTCTCACCTGTTGCTAGGAGTGACGTCATCAGGGCCGGACAACGCCGGACGGGACAAACCCCCAATTTCGGCGAGTTGGAAGCGTCGTTGCGCAAGTGGTGAGTTGTACGTGCTTTAATACAACGTACGATCTCTGTGCGATTGCAACTTTACCGTAAGGAGGCCGTACTCACACATGCTTCTTACGTACGTCACGTATGGGACACGCGCCTCGCCTGTACTCGCACGTACGGGTGGTGAATCCGCAGACCGCACGCAGAAAAGTTTTACATGCACTTGAAGTTCTACGGAGTGTCTGCGTGCTCCCAAATCCGTAGGATTCCGTACGGAGGCGGTACTCACCACGCACGGATGCCCTACGTTTGCCCATGTTTTTGCACGTAGACAGCACGCAGATGCACGTTGTGACCGAGGCTTTACTCGGTCTTCCTCAGCTCAGCTTTCTGACCAGAGTGCTGCTGGTGTCGTGTCTACAACACTCGGGTCAGAAAGCTTATGAAGACTGAGTGATTCGGTCGAAAATTCCTGGTGAGTCATTTTTTTTTTGAGTTGGAGAACAGTTTGATTTCCATTATCAGATGGCAAATTTGACATGCATATGTCGACTGGTCACGCAGCTCTCGCCAATATGGCCGTGATGTTTCGTGGCGTAGAGGTTAGGGTATACATGTAGGTTAGAGTTTAAGAGCGAATGTCTGTAAGGATCAAACAATGGTGGCAGGGGTCAAAAAATCGATTTTGCTCAAATTTTGCACAGTGATAGTACTTGGCCCACAACCCCTCAAAATAGCTTTCTTTCCGGTCAACACCGATCGTTGCCATGGTAACGGGCCAAACAAGTTTCGGGGCCATTTCCCCTGATTTAGACATGTGAAAAACATGACATTTGGCATAGTTTAGGGCACGATTACGAGCAAGTGCTTTGATACTAGTATTATGGAAAAACAAAATATGGGCCTAAAGGACCAACTAATCTGCTATTCTAGAATAGCTTTGAAATTTTCAAGAAGTTCGTTTAAAGGACCTGGGCAAATCTAACAAAATACAGTGTTTGAGGCTTATGAAAAAGCGTTATTTCTGCCCAATTTCGAAGTGCTGTAAGTCCAAAGATGGTGATTTTTTTTTGCTTCAAATTTCAATCATAGATACATAAACATATGTGCTATAAAATGCATGGTTGCAAACTTTGGGCACTTCTTTAGTTGTCACGTGGTTGTCCTTAGAAGTAGGTCAAATTTTGAATTTGAGGGAAAATATGATTTTTAGCCATGTTCAGGATACAATATCTACAAAAGAAAGAAAGCAATCTGATAAAGTCTTTTGGCAAAAGTAACACTATGTCTTGTCTATTAAATGAATACTTGTGGAGGTTGGGTTCTTGTGTCGTTGGTGTGTACTTGTCCCTAAAAGTAGGCCATATTTTGAACATGTACAGAAACTGACATATACGGCTATGTTTGAAGCTCTAGAAATAACAAAGTAGGATGTCATTTGAATTCAATCTTTGCAGGGAAGTACATACAAGTATTGTGTATCAAATGAATACTTGAGGAGGTTGGAGTCTTGTGTCTTTGGTGTGCACTTGTCCCTTAAAAGTAGGCCATATTTTGGTGTCTGCCAGTTGAAAAGCATGGTCATCGGTTGAGGTATCACCCCAGTCTGTGTGGTGGCAGTTGAAGTCGCCAGTGATGATGATCATTCCTTTCTCGTCTACTACTTTGGAGATGCAGTGTTCGTACTGATCATGGAAACTGTCTTGGGTAGCTGGTGGTATGTACGCACAAGAGAAAAGAACTTTTTGCC